GTTTCATGGAGAGATGCTTTTGGTCATCCAAGCCAAAGTCCTGAGGACTGCTAATGGTCCATAGATCATGAGAATGCAGATTTCAAAACTTAAAGAAGAACCAAATCGCCCACATATCTCATCATGCATGCAAAGGGGTGAAACTGAAGAAGTAAGCATCTTTGGATATTCAAAATTTAGGCTATTAGGTGTGGTAGCAACAGTGCACAAAATAATCCATCAATGTGGAAGTCTTCTTGCTCTTATTCGCCCTGCCCCTAAAACAGGTGGTGCGCTCCAGCCGTGCTTTAAGGCATGGCGGTGAGCGTGTGCTTCACTTGTTTATTCAGTGTCTGTGCCTATCTGCCAGTGTGTGTGTCAAATTAGAGGAGGCACGTGGATGCTGTGGATTTGTAGAGTTGTAGAATGAGGTATTCCACTCGTGCTAACGTGGATAAAACAGCTGTATCAGTAAGAACCCCGAGAGGTTATTGCAAGATGAGCGGTCTGTCTTTCAGTGCCCAGAGTGCGCGTGTCCTGAGCTGTTGCTCCTTTGGTTTGGTGTCTTTGAGGTTTCGTTTGTTGTTGGGTTTTGTATGGTTGCTTGTTTTTGTTTTTTTTTAACCCCAGAGGAAAACTTTACTTAGAGGTACTAGTTCAAAAGCTTTGGGGCAATATCCTTAGTGCCTGTCTTGTTCTGAATGCTGAGCTAATAACCGACCACCAGCTATTCCCATGCCACTGTGTTTTTTTTATGCTTGTCTTCCTTTCCCCATAGGCTGCTCTGTACTGGTGCTCCAGCAGTGGTGACAGTGAGGTGACGCTGCCAGTATATTTCTCTACCGCTGGGGTGCCGAGTCAGCACCAACACTTCAGTAGCAAGGGCACAGTTGATATTAAAAAGGTCAGTTGGGAAGACTTTTTTCTTTTGGTTTTCCTTTGCATTGAGGCAGTGGCTTTCAATGGTATTAACCCCTTTTTCTTCCCACACAACGCGTTTTCATCCTCTTTCCTTCCTTCCTGCCAGCTTTGAAGCTAAATCACATTCAAAAAGTAGTTTGGGTGGCTGTGTGCATCTCTTGGGGATGCTTTTGTGCTTGGGAGCGTCTCTGTGTGCTCCGGGATGGAAATCTGCTCCTCTGGTGGGCGCTCAGTACAAGACCATTGCATCAGATACCTTTCTGAAAGTGGTGTAGTGATTCTTAGGTATTATGATCTCAAGGGTAAACGGTAAACTTCTGTTTATTCAAATGCAATCTCTCTCTTTGAAGTTCTGCTCATCTCTAAATTCGTATACTAGGAAGGTCTGGCCTTCATTTAAATGATCCTTGGATATTTTTTTCTATCACTAAGAAGACAAAAAAAAAAACAAAAAAACTTTGGGAAAGCCTTGAATAAGATAATAGCATTGCTAAGATGGAAATGATGAAGAAGGCTCAGGATTCCTGTTTGGGCCTCACAGGAAAACGTGGTTTGAAATGCGTGTGTGTGGGGGGTGCATTCCTAAAGCCATCATTTGTTTCCCCTGTTTCTGCTCCTCCCACCGTGTTCTGTGCTGCGTACTATGGCATGTTTAATGAAACCAATAAAAGTATTTGGCTGAGAGTGTTAATCTTTCCCTGGCCCAATTAGTGCATGGCTTCCAATTTAACATTGATGTGAACATTTTTTTAAGGCAGAACAATGAGCAGCTTTGTGCTACACACCAGGTTTTCCCCCTCCTTGCCTGTATTGTGTGTTTCTTTCTACCTATTCCAAACAGAGAGCTCCTGTGCAGAGACAGGGGAGCAAACCAGAGCAGGGACTTGTACCAGCTCCATGTTAGAGTGGCTGTCTCTCATTGGCAAGTCAAGTGATCATGACTCTCAAGGCTCATCATCTCTTCTCCTTTCTTCTTCCTTCCCCTGTAGCCCTTGCTGGCCTGCATTCTCCTTTTTGCTTCATCTGTGATGCTCATCGCCAGAAGGAGGAACAGCTGTAACAGTTGAGAGTGGTCTTTGAAGAAAAAAATTAAATACAAATAAATACACATAAGCAGAGGGGGGAAGTAGCTGCTGATGGACTCAGCTTTAGCATACAGTGGAGTCACACTTTATCCCAGAGGAGGAAATAGGTCTAGCAAGTGTCTTCCTGTACAGACTGAATGGGAAGCAACAAGGCTTTTTTCTTTTTTCTTTTTTTTTTTTTTTTGAGCCTCCTGTTTCTCAGCAGCTCTCCTGTTATGTGTGGCATCGGGATGGGCCTCCAGCACAAGGAGGAGCTGAAGGCCCTGCAGCCTTCTGTGTGAGATTGCAGCTGCCTGGTTTCATGGCTTCAGAAACAACACCACGTGGAGGGAGCCGGGTCCCTTTCTGTGACCACGGGTGGAAGGCTGTTGGGATTTTGTTTTGTTTGTTGCCCCCTCACATGTATGCCCTCTGCTTTCATAAGAGAGGGTGACTGTGATGCTGGGGGAGGGTCTCCAAAATAGATGACTTGAATGCTTGTGACCAGTTCCCTGTTTCCTAGAGGCTTTGCTCAGATGTTGAATTCAACCTGAGGCCATGCTGTTTGCCAGCCTCTTTCCTGTTTGTCTCTCTTTCCTGGAGGTCTTTGTTCTCTTTTGGGGAAAGGGAGGAAGGAGGCTCCATTGGTGTGACCTCCCAGCTGGGGTGTTTAGAGTCCTGAGGGCAGGGCCACAGGGCATTCCTGCTGTCACTGCTTGTCTGATTCCTGGGATCTCATAGGTGCTGTGGAAAAAAACATTTCCCCGTCCTCACTGATGCATTTATTAAGGAAAAAAAAAAAAAGCTGCAAGAGAAACCTCTCAGTATTCTCTTGCCTGAAGGCTTTCTGCCATGGGTTTTCCCACAGGAAGGAGTGATTTGGCCCAGTATCCTTATTGTTTCTATATCCTATTGCAAATAGAAAGTTATGCCTCTGAAATCAGTGCGTCCTGCTCATGTGGTTATCTTTGTTTAAGTGGTACATTTTTGCTTCATGCAAGAAAATGGAAAATACATATGTGAACAAAAGCATGCGACACTGATCCTATTTTTGCAGAACTGAATTTCAGTCTTTTAACTGCTTAAAATTAAGAAATGCTGAATCTTCAGAGTTATGCTATAGAGTAACTTCTTCCAGGACGTAATGGTGGTAACATTAATGCTAGAGGTATTGACTGAAAGAGGAAAGGGTAAGTGTATTTCTGAAGTAGGAGCTGGTTTTTGTTGATGTGTTTGTTTGCTTTTTTTTATGTAGTAAAGCACTTACTTGCATTGTTTTAACAGAAGTTTTTCCAAATGATACAAACTGGTCATTGTTTTTGGTGGTACTGAGTAGATACAGCAAGCAACTTGGAAGTGACTCTTCAGTACTTGTTCTCTTCAAGATTAAATCACTTACTTTCTTTTTAACCACTTACGCAGTAGAAAGAAGTGACCGTATTGCTCTTAAATGACCTCTTTTAAAGACCCTATCAAATAAGCAGCTCTTATACTTGTTGGAGAAAATACAGGAGGATGGATGCTTGGGCTCTCGAATCAAGCAGTCCCTTGCATCACGGGGAACATTAGTGCTTTGCTTAGCAGAAAAGCATACAAAAGTAACCTTCAAAGAGTTATCTTGAACTGTTCAAGGTACCATCAAAATAGTCTTGGTTTCTGAAGACGCAGACTAAAAGTGGTGTTTGAAGAAGTTGATTTTATCTGGAGTCTTAGACTGTGGGCTTCAGTCAGCTCACACATATGTTTCATCTCCAGACTGTGCTGCTCACTGTGTCAAACCACCAGTGTGCTGCTCCTGAGAAGGACGGCAGTTTGAAGTGGAGAGCTTGAGTCTGCTGCTTTTTCTTGTGTTGAGTAAAGCAAGGAACTGCATGACATGAGTGAAGAGAGCAGAAACTGGGCCGTTTGTCAGACTTCTGTTGTTCACTCTGAAATGTCAGTAGTTGGGATACCATCATTTCTTGTTTGCATACGCTGTTCAAAAAGCATTTGAAGATATGTTTTGTGACTGATTTGCGTCATCCTTGAGAATTTCTTATTTAAAAGGAAGAAACCCTATTAGCCATAAATTGAGAGCGATGGCCTCTGCTTTCTGAAAAAAGGGAAAATCCATATTAAGTCTGCTGGGTGCGATTTGGAAACCTGAGATGATGAAATGTCCACAGTGTGTTAATTTCCAATACGAGGTTATAAAAATGTACTTCTCCAATAAAAAGATATGGATATTTTCAGTGTTATGAATCATCCACTTCAGAGGCTGTGACCACGAGTGCCACAAAGAGAACTCCTCTCTTTGTTACGTGTTGATGATTCACCTTCACCTCTATCAGGGATGTTCAACTGCATTGCCATTCTCCAGCCAGAGCAGGAATCCCTCCTGAAACCCCAAGGGTAGCATGATAAGGTTGTGGTCTAGAAAGGGGTGTGGAGAAATTCTGTCAGCAGATATGGTGGTTGCTTGTCTTCTGTTCATCTAAAACCCTTGGGCAGTGGGTGTAAGGAATGTGCCAGATGGCCCCAAAAACCTCAGTACTCATTTCTTGCTGCAGGAAGGAAGAAGATTGCCCTGAATTCATCTATTGGTGTAAACATTAATCCTCCAAGAAGAGAAATTGGGGGGTGGGATGGTTGTGAGTGAAACTGAATTACTTAGTGAATCTCCAGCAGCAGGATACTCTTCCAAGTTCTTTGCCGTATGTCATGAGTGTCAGTGGCACAGTGGCTTGCTCAGTCATTTGTTCCCTACTTCTTTCTTTTTTTTTTTGTGGTTGAATGCTGGGGACCAAGCTGTGTAAGGGTTTCCTCTCCTTTTTTGCCCAGATTTCACTGCTGGTGGCAGCAGCAGCATCTCCCATTCCTGTGCCAGGATGCTTGTGGCTTCGGGCGCTTGATTGCATTGGCTCCGTTGATGTGCTTCCACCATCAAACCTACACAGCCATCAGTAGAGCACTCAAAAAATTGGGGTTTTACTCTCTGCTAAAACTGCTTCCACCAAAATGTAATCTCATTCTCTTTTTCCCATCTCCCTCACATAGTGCTAGAGGGTGCTACTGAAGAAGAGGCTGAAGAGCCTGATGCTACTAAAGCTACTACACTAAGTGAGGAGACCAGCAAGCAAGAAGAGAGCCTCAGTCAATCAGGGGATAGCAATGAAGGTAACTGGTCTGACTAGCTCTGAGTGACTCTTTAATTTAGGACATTGATGAAGGCTTGTAGAAATATTTCTTACCCAATCCATAACCCTTATCTGTGTGAGAGGTGTAATATACACTGAGCAGAGGCATAGGTGCATGCTTTTCTTTCCTTGTGCCTAACCTTTATCTGTGTGAAGTATATAAAATACAGTGAGCAGAAGCATGGGCACATAAATACTCAGCCACTACTGTAGGCTTCCAAACTAAGATTTTCTTGGCTCCAGGTAGCTTGGCACCACATTACTTAGCTTCAAAAAACACCTGTTTGTAGTGCTCAAACTTATCTTCCAAAGTCAGTATTATGCAGAGATCGAATGTTCACAGGCAGATTTGTTTCTCCTTGTTCACCCTCACATCCTCTTGTGTTAGAGTGACTCACACACACATGAAGATCCTGTGCTGTCCACCTGAGATGACAGTTGTAGACTTGCAGGGTGTTCCTATTTGGTTGGGAGATTCTTTTTTAGAGGAATGAACATTCAGTTTGAAAGCATTTTCCTTTTTAACATCTTAAGGGGAAAGTGGAGGACTTTACCTGTGTGTTTGACAAGCTGTGTACAAAATGTGATGGAGAAGTCTGAATCTGAGCAGCTTTGCCTGTGGGGCAGCATCAGTCATGGCTGTAACGTATACTCTATGGACTGATAAGAGTGGGTAGAACAAAAAGAAAAAGATAATTATATCATTGCCAGGTGTGGAAGTAAAAATGTATTTTAGGGGATTTGAAGTTGGATTTTTTTCAGATTTAGCGCTTTGCTTCTACAAGGCTGACTTAAGGTATGTGACAGAAGAACCAGTATACTGTGCTACTGATGCCTCAGTTGTGCAATTCTGCTTAAAATACTTGCTTGCCTTAATGATGGTGTTTGCCAGAGCATTCATACATTGGTGCTGATCTGATAGTTCATTGTGATTGCAAGGTACTGCAATTAGTACCATTTTGCAGCAAGAAAATTTAAGGTGAATCACTCCATTATTCCCGTACTGAATTTAGTTTGGAAGTCAAGATAACGTGAACATCCTTTTAGAAGAGATCTGCACCTCATCCTATGCATTCCAATAGGAGAAACTCACTGATACAAGAAAATCTTCAGTTATTATGAGCTTTTGTCCATGAAATTAGGCAGTGTGATGTGAGTTGCAGGTAGCTGAAAATACCTTGGGTTTTTGCTTTGGGTTGTGGGGTTTTTTTTTGTTTAATTTTTTAGATGACCTAGCAGCTCTTATGTGTGCTTTTTCTTTTTAATTCCAGAGAAGCAGCTGGAAACCTTAAACAGTTACAAGGTGTCACCAAGTTCACCAAACAGTTCGGACGGAGCAGACTTGTCCTCCATTGATGCCATGATGTCAGCAGTAATGAATGTGGGGAAGATAGCTGAAAATGGGGGGACCTCTCAGACTGTCAAATCTCCCTCGAAGTCTCCTGCACCAAATCGGATTGGTAGGAGGAATCAGGTTTGTAAACTCAAGTACAGGGAGATGATGGGAAGTCAAACAGCTGCATGGAAAATGATGTGATTATGTTTCATTGGTGGTTTTGTCTTTTTTTCACTCCATGAGTTTGTCTTGCCTCTGTTATCGTTTCTTTTTGCATGTTTCCTGATGCTCCCCCAGAACTTAACCTTGGAAAACCGGGGATGGAAGGGGTCTGCTTGCTTGGGCTCACATGTCACACAGTGGGCAAGCTGGTCTGCCAGATGACACCAGCAGCAGCAAAACGAAAATTGCCACTTCTTTCCTGCTTCCATTATTCATGTTCTTGCATTTTCCTGATTTGTTGAGAGGGTCAGTTTGTTCCATTAACCTAGGAGAAAAGTATCTGGAACTGAAGTAGTTCAGTGAGGGATGGCCTGGCCAGGGGACTGTGGGGCTTGGCTCAGTTGTTGAGAGGGTCCCTTCATGAGGTATTGCTCCTGCAGAAGATCTGAGTGATTAAAGGTTAAAGGTGGTGCTAGACCAAAATGTCCATAAAGGCACTCAGTTCACACAGTTGTACTGTAAGGTGCCCTTATTTGTTGATGAAAATGTGAAGAACTGTTGCAGAATGTTTTGTATAAATGTTGCAGAGCAAATATATGTAGCTTTTATCAGTTTGGTTTTTTTCCATTTGCCAGTTGATGACTCTGGCTGATAGGTGTATTGATCTGGAGAAGTGATAGAGTCAGTTCAAGCTGTGATTATTGATATCCACGTTTCTCTTTTGCTGAGTTAAGCCCTACTAATTAAGGTGTTGCAGTACAGCAAGAAACACCCCAAATCCCCACGTCTGTTTGACTTTAGCACAGAGAATTTGTTAATGAATGAAGATGTAATGGGGATCAGAAAGGTTGGGAAGTGTGATTCGTGATGGTCCTATAGTATTTTATTAATAACTTGCAGAATGGCTGCCCAGTTGACATACTTATGACTTGTCTTGAATTTTCTTGCTTAAAATGGTTAAAAATCACTAACAATAAATGAACATAGGAATTCTTAATTGAAGAGCCTGGCTGTGTACAGGCAACTGTGTTGGTGGTGTCACACTGTCTAGCATCTGACTTCAGGATTTATTTGCAGTGTTCCCTGTTAAGGGGTACCCTGGTTCCTTGATTTCATCGTGTAAAGTAAGACTGGAATTCAGATGAGACTCGGTGGCAGTGCTGTTGCACAGCTGCCCGCTGGAACACCATGTGGCTTGGCTTCAGGAAGGTTTATTAGTGCTAGTGACCTTTATTCCACCTGATGCTTCGATGGGCATTGAATCAAAGGAAGCTTGAGAGTAAATGTGACAGGATTAAGAGGGATTCTTATGGTGTAAAAATAAATAGATTGAAAACACGGTAAATAGCCTATTTGTTATTAGGCTGAAAGATCGTTATTGCCAGAGGGGTAAATGGCTACATCAGCAAGGTATTAGAAGTGAGATGTGAAATAGTAAGTGGGTTTAACAACATCTAATACAGTGAATTTCCATTTTCAACATAGCAGCATGAAAGCACTGATTTGTTTCAGTGTTTAACAGTGCACAGATCTCCGATTCTGGTCAGAATGTGCCCCTGATTTTAATTGCAAGGATAGTAACTGTGCTAATTTTCTGGGTCTGACTGCTGTTTCTTGGCAGCAAAACACTTTGCTGTGAACCTTTGTCCTTAGTCTATGGTTCTCTTTATAATGCTAGCTTTATCTTTAGTCTGGTCTACCTATAGTCTAATAAACGTATTCTGTCATCAACCTGCATCCATTTTAACTTCTCGTTTGCTTTGCTCTATAAGAGAATAAAAAAAAAGGTGACAAAGGTGAGCTGGAGAAAAGCAGCCCTTGTGCACAGTTCCCAAAGCATTTGCCATCAGTTGAATGCAGAGCTGTCTTGCCAGGTTGACTAAAAAGAGAATAGGTAACAAATTAACTCTTAGTTTTATCTTTCAGTTCAGGAAGCGTGTTTTCCCCACCCTGGCTCCAGTGAGGTGGCTGAGTGCTGTGTCCTACATTTGTGAGTGGAGGTGCTCTTGGAGTAGGGATGCTAATGTATTTTGGCCTGGATCGAGTCAGTCAACAGCGTTCCTCTTGTAGCTAGCCTTGATTTGCTTGAGCTGTGTTACGGTATGCAGCATGTACCCTGGGTGACCACTGGAGAAAGTTTGGGTTTTAGTTAATAATAAACCCCAGATTCAATACTAATCAGCTCTGACAGAGCTATAGTGTGTTTCTGATCTTTGCTTCAAGGTGAACCAGCAATTACTCTATCTGCTGTTAATTTGCTGATGCGAAGAGCAGTTGAGAAAGGCTCTGAAGCCATTGATTGCATCGTGTAGAACTGTGTCACTCATTTAAAGAGGGGGCAAAAAAAAAGTAGTAGGTTGATAATTTCACATAAATACCCTGGGGATTAAACACGATCTAAACTGTCAGCACAGCTGCAGGGATTTTCCTTGCAGCACAGTGTGTTTGTTCTCTGTCCTGAGCCAACTTTAACAGGCTTGCAGTATAATTGGAGCTGAACACTGCTCCGCAGACTGGTTGCATGCAGTAAAATTAAAGTTGTATCAGTAGGATGGAATGTGTGTGTGTGAATTGTATGTGTGTGTGGGCATGGGGATAATGTGTTTTAATTTTCTTGGGGTGTTGAGACTTTATAATGGCAGCCTTTCTTATTTGCTTTCTAATGTTTTGTGAGTAACAGGGCATTGGGCCCTGGCCTGTGTGTGTGGCCTGCAGTGATTACCTTCGGGATGGAGAGCCTTGCAAGGGAAACAGGAGGGGGGTTGGGATAGCCTAGCAGTTGCTGTTCCTGATACTTATAGAAGGGAGGTCACTCGCCGTGTTTACTTGAGGCAAAATGAGAAAATAGCTTTGCATCCACATCCACGAGTTGCTGGAGTTAATGGAAAAATATCATGACCCCACTTCTGAAAATGTAATGTTACATTTTAGTCAGGAACTCTCTATAGAGTGTTTCCTCAGATCGTGTTGAGAGGAATATTGCTTCATTAAGTTGAAACTCAGAAAAAAAAAAAATCAACAACAAAACAGCCTTTTCTAACACTGTGTCAGTGTCTTTCCCCTTGAAATGCCACAGGATTGATGACAGAGACCTGGGCCAGTCATTGTCAGCGCCCCACACAAATGCTTGTGTCTGACTGTCTGGAGTGGTCCTTTCTCAGTTGATAGCTTGTAGGACAGTGAAGGGGAAAAAAATTGTTTAGAAAGAGGAAGCAGATAGATATATACAGATCTGCTCCCTCCTGTTTCTGACTAAAGAGCTACTTAGGTTTGGTGGGGTGTTTTTTGCTGTTGTTTGGTTTCTTTTGCTTGTTCTCACCAGTGTTACCTAAAATAGCCAGCAAAGAGATTCAATAGAATGCATCCTTTTAGCATAAATATTATGCTTCCCATCAGTCATGCAGAGATGGTTTTTGTATTCTCATCACCACGAGTTTAGGTAACAAATGGTGAACCTCCAGCTGGTAAAGATGTGCATAGTTCTACAGAAAACAGAGGTTTCATTTTCAGTGCCAGATCTTCTTGCTTTGAGTCATAGAGGCTTTGGTTCAGAAGCCACGTCTGGTGCAAATGACCGTATGTCATTCGGTAGCCATCCTTGCAGACAGCTCAGGCAGATGCCTTTGGTTTCTGTGAGAGTGCCATTCCATCCTCGGCTGTGAAAGAGTGGCTGCTTTCCCCAGTGTCTCAAGGGCATACTTAAATCAGACTGAGCAATCCAGGTCGGGGCTATTGCATTGTTTGTACTCATGCTCTGACTGTGGTTACTCCTCACCTGGGTGGAGGATAACGGGGTTCATAATGTGTTCTTTTAGAGTCACGTAGGCTCCCACATTGTCACCTCTTTCTCGTTATGATCTCATCAGATCTTGCAAGCTTAAGAAGGGTTGGGCCTGGCCAGTGTGCCTGGATGGGATGCTTCCAGGAGAAACACAGGATGCTCAAGGAAGTGGTGCTGGTGATTCAGTAAATGCTGCTCTTCCTTCTGAGTCAGAGCTCTGAGAAAAGGGCACTGGCCTAACAACTTGCCATCGAGGTGGGGTGGAAAACCCAAAGTCCTGAAGACTTGTGCTTCCTAAAGATCTTTTTGGAAGATTAGTTGCATTTGCCAGCATATTCTGGCAGGATTCCAGCCTGGGTAATTGCTTTCTGCTCACCTAAATTCCTCCTGGCAGTTTGAGCTGGTTGCAGTAATTGCCTTCACTTCCTGTCCTAAACTGCTACTGCTGAGTATCTGTGCGCTGTTAAAACAGCTGCTGTTCTTCTGTGGTGGTTGAAATGGCCCCTATTTATAAATTCAGAAGTTTTTGAAACTTCCCTGAGGGATCTGCTGGGATGATAAATGCACATACAAGTCGTTCTGTTAGCAGTGGCCTTTTTGTATTGGAGATGGCTTGTACTTTTTCCATCCATAGCAGTAACAGCTTTCCAGTTCTTTAATATCTGATTTCTTTGTTGTTTTCTTCACAGGAAACAAAAGAAGAGAAGTCTTCCTATACCTGTCCTCTGTGTGAAAAGATTTGCACTACACAGCACCAGCTAACTATGCACATTCGTCAGGTACGTAAAGTTAGAGCTCTCGATTCCCTATTTTATTGAGTGTCTCAATTGCCAGTGTGCATTTTGCAGTAGTGAAAAGCAATTCCATGTGCAAATCAGAAATGCCTGTATATAACTTTTCACAATTGTTTTGCTTTTATTCAAGCTTTCCCCTGGTATTAATTAAAAAAAAAAAAAAAAAACCATCAACCAGGAGGTGGATAATTCTCCTCTCTTTCTCTCCTTTCCTTCCCCTCCCTACTCCCTCAGTGGCTCAAACAAGGATGTGTGTCCTGTTCTGCACAGCTTAAGGTATCCTAAGGATCCGGAAAACCAATTCCATCATGAGGCATAAGTCCTGTTTTGTTGTCCTGTTTGAATACAGTTCCCTTTACTGTACATACAAATAAGAAGCAGGAAGAAACAACTTTAAAATCATCTTGGTGTTAAGAGCCTCTCTGTCCTTTACACGTACAGCAATTTTGGGAGGCAGAATTTAAAATACCCATTTCAAATGTATGATGCTCTTTATTTTTGTCAGATACAGGCCTCATCTTGCTCCTCTTGAAATATGAAAATGTGTTATGAGGAGCTTTGGCTTTTTCTATGTCAGAAGGTTCTCCTTGGGATGTTAAAGTTGTGGTTCACCACTCTGAGTCCACTAGATACTCATTACTTCCGTTTTCCCTTCTGTACTGTAACTGTTATTTAATTTTTTTCCTTATTCTCTATTTGATTTTAGTTTGGGTGGGGATTATTTTTTTTTTTATTATTTTTTTTTGGTATGTGAAGAAATGTTCAATTCTCTAAATGCAAGCAAAAACGAATGGTACATATAACACAGTGGCTGATAGCCATGTTTTCCCTGTAAAACAGAGGCATTTGCTTCTGTTTTTCTGTTTTCTTACTACACAGTCACTTTGAAATTAATATCTTTAAAGAGTATTTTTAAGCGTCTTCTGAAATCAAGTTTATAATTACATTCTCTTTCTTCTTTCCCCCTTACCATTTACCCTACCCCAAAGTGCTACATAGCTTAACACATTCCAGGGTCCCACTTGTTGGATCGGTTTTGCTGGGTCCCTTTCTATCCTTTTCTGCTGCACACCCAGTGAAAGTGCAGCGTGTGGTGGGCGTTCCAGGCTGCACAAAGCAGCTGCATTAAGGAGTTAAAGCAAAGGGAGGGGGTGGAGTTAAGGGGGAGGGCTGTGGGAAAGAACTGGATATGGGGCACACCTTAATATAAGGTATTGTGTCACGTGGCTCTGTGAAGCTACTTTTAAGATGTTTACAGTTCTCTCTGATATTTTACTCACACTGTGTAAGAGTCATTCAATGAAAAAAAATCATTGCTTTCTCTAGCATAACACTGACACTGGAGGGACAGACCATTCCTGCAGCATCTGTGGAAAGTCTCTGAGCTCAGCGAGCTCCCTTGATCGCCACATGCTGGTGCACTCAGGTGAAAGGCCTTATAAATGTTCAGTGTGTGGACAGTCCTTCACCACCAATGGAAACATGCACAGGTGAGTGCTGATCGTGACCCAGGAGTTTGGAAAGCACTACAGGATAGAGGGCTGGGTTTGTTTCCTTGGAAGAGCTTTGAAGCTAAATACAGACCCTTACATGGACTGATCTACAAGTATGGTGTGACACAAACTCACACACACTCTACAACTGCTAGGATGATTATGTTGTGGAAGGGAGCCAAAATTGAGAAAGGGTTTCTGGTTCTCCTCACGTAGTATTCAGTTGTTGTGGATATCCAGAAGTTTTGCTGTTTTGGTTTTATTATTATTATTATTTTGAAAACAGGATGGATTTTTCTCTAAGGATAAAAATACATAGCCAAGCTGTAGAGGAACTTCTAATTCTGTAGCTTCTGAGTAGCAGATGCAAATGGTTGTACTGGGGCATCTGTGGTGAATATTAAGCAGTGTAGTATCCAAATGCCACTGTGAAGATGCCTCTTCAGAATAATCAATCTTATTTGTAAATACATACATCACTACTTGCTCTGTAGGCAACTTACTGAACTACAGATTCAGGAAATTATCTGTGACCAGTGTCCAAACATAATTAGTGTAGTTTCCTTCATAGGGATTTAGCAGTACGTCAACAGTTGACAACTAGGGGAACAATGTAAAATCACACAGAATCATAGAATATCCAAACTTGTAGTGGTCCCATAAGGATCATCAAATGCAACTCCTGGCTCCATATGGGACCAAACAGAATTTACTGGTTAGTTACAGTTATTACTAACTGTAACACAGCTCTAGGACAGCCCTATGAAATAAAACTTAATTTTACAGGATGGAGAAAGTATGGATTTGTGTTTAATACTCAGCAGTGCCTGGAGTGTCCTGGCTGGGGCCATCCCACTGGCTGGTGCCTTCTTGCTCCATAGAAAGGTGCCCCTGTTCCTGATGGGCATTTCTAAAACTGCTCTGGAATTGTAGAATCATTAAATTGGAAAAGACCCCCAAGGTCATCTAGTTCAATCATCCACCCACCACCAATATTGCCCACCAAACCATGCCTCTAAGTACCACACGTTTCCTTTAACACCTCCAGGGATGGTGTCTCCCCCACTTCTCTGGACTACCTGTTCCAATACCTCACCACTCTTTGTATGGTCCTTTCCCTCTCACATCTTCCAGTTCAGTATTCATTTATTTGCAAGGGTGGAGCACCTCAGAACTGATTAAGAGTTTGTGAATTCCCAGGTAGCTTTCGCCCCCATGTCAAAGCATTTACAACCTACAAAAAAATGGAAGATAAGTGGGGGAAAGGAGCGCTGCTTGTAAGTATTGTGATAAGTGATGGTTATAAACTGATTCTGTGTGGGTGGGAAGATACCTTTTTTCACTGATTATTACCAACAGTTTTCCAAGGAGTATGCTGTAGGTGGAATGAAAGGAGTTATTTCAGCGAGCAGAGATAATATAATCCTACCCAAAGGAAGCAGTATCTGCTTGCAGCTCTGCCTCTTTCTGGATCTTATTGACAGCTTAAGCAGTCCCATGAAAATGGAGAAATAGGAATGTGTGCAATTTTCTATCTCTGTGTTCATTTAACCTCTACTCAATCAGAATTGAGGAAGGATGGAGAAAGAAACATCAGATGAGAAGAGGAAGACATGAAGATGCTCAGAGGAGATAATGGCTTTGGGCATTGAATAAATCATGTCTGTCTCTACTGAGTCAGTTGTGAGCCACGTTTTCCAAATTGGGTCATTCCTCAGGAAGGCAGGGCAGCTTCTGAGTTGCAGCTGGTGCCAGTATTGGCCCCAGAGGATGAATTTCAGCACCCAGACCCTCATGGTGGACACCACTGTGTCCTGTTCCTCACTAGGCTGCTTGCTGAAGGTTGCAGGGTTAGTTTTAGCTTTTTTCTCATTAGGCATCTCCTCATCCTCTCCAGAAGCAGGGAGACTTCCTGTGGGACTTCACTCCAGGCCTGCCAGATGTTGATGTAGTATCCTTTGCTTATCAAGGTTTCCCTGTATAGCAACTCTTATCGTGCTTTAGCAGTAAATCTGCCAGACTGAGTGACTTGCCCAAAAGAAGTAACTATAGATCAAAATCTTCTGATGACAAGGTTATTCATTTGAAAGTTTTCCTCTTAATGGGGTTTTGCCTGATGTTGCCAGGATAGAGTGCTCTGTTTACTGCCCATGCTAGGAAGAACCTAAATTGTGCAAGGAAGAGATTTCTGTTGCAAGCTCTTTCCATCTGACAGGTGTCAGCTCCTGTCTGCTCTGTAGAACTCCTCTTTGTGTAGGCTTACATTGCAGCAGCACAGTGGAACACTGCAAAGTTGCTGAGCTCACTGACGCTGCACCAGGTGGCCCCAGGCCTGTGACAGGAAACATCTTGAGCCTACTGAAACAGGGTAGTTTTGCTAAGGAAGAGTACTGGTGGGCAGGATGGTGCCAAACCAATTGTTTGCAGCGAATAACCATTTCTTGATGCTGTAACAGGCTGTGCTAGTGAATCCTGATGCCGTAGTGAAAAGCATGAATGTACAAGTAGGCAGATGAGGATAAATACAAAATGAAATGAAATTTGTTATCTGGTACTATGACAAACTCAAAAGGAAGGTGTTGATTTTGCACACTAGGTACTTCCTTCAGAAACAGGTATTTCTGGTCTAAGATGGTCTGAAGGAAATTATTCCATAGGTACCTCAGGTCTGGCTGTAGCATCGAGTCTCAGTGCTATGGATGAATGCTTTTCATATCACGTTCAAAGCCTTCTGCCTCAGGATTCTGGAGCAGGGGCCTGCTTGCCACGTCCTGCCTTGTGGACTGCTTCCAAAGGCCTTGCTGATGGTGGTACCACATCTGTTCTTCTGTGCCAGCTGGCCGGTGGGGCAAGAATGCCAGCTCATCTTTCCCTGCTGATGCACACAATTCTTTTATTCCTTAGTTTCATGTTAGAGTATCCAAATAGTGGCTGATATATGCCCAAACTAACAGAGAACAGGGTTTCTAATGTCCCCCTCCTGAGTCTCACAAAGTGTGAAGTTGGGGAGAGAACTGAATTTAACAGAAAGCTGTGGAAGTTCTGCTAAAGAATCAGCAGAGCTTGAACATTCCCACATAGTGCTGTTTTTGCACCAAATATGCTCAGTGCTTGGGACTGGAGTGAGGGAGAATGTAGTCTGCTGGGATCTGAATGGGAGCAGAATGTGTCTACACATCTTGCATATATTCTGTCTTCTCTTTCTTCCCTGTGCCTCATTCTGGCTCTTAACTGTCCATACTGTCTTTTTAAACTGGACCTTCTAAAATACCACTTAGGGGTAAAAAATCCATTGGATTAATTTTGTCAAGGGCAATGCTGTGCCACCAGAGTGCTTACTTCTGTTCTGAGGGGATGAAATTTCGGATCCATTTTTCCACCTCTAGCAGCCAGGCCGTTAGACATTCAGCAGAGCAGAGGAGGAGGGGAGAAAAGTTCCAGATGCTTTTTTGCTGTTAGGAAGTATCAGTGCCACAATCTTCCTAAAAAGTAATTTTTCTCTCCCCTCTATTTGTTAAGTGGAGGGATTAAAAACCCTCCATAGCTCTAATTTGTTCCTTTTTTTGCATCGCAGCAAGATTCTGTTGCAATACCTAGTTTTTGTCAAGTGAGAACACTGTTTTGTCTGCCTTCTTCTAGCTGTGCTGGGGTGTTGCTTGTACTCTTTACCTGTTAAATTGATGCTGCCCTTCCTGACTCCCACAATACAAGCAAACACTTCATTTGTAAATGAGTCAGAGCCTCTCACATAAGGTCCAGTTTCTTTTTGTTGTGCTCCTTGGCTCCTTGTCAACAAGTCGAGTTGAATGGGCACTGCAAATAGAGGGGTGGAGAAGAAAGGTTCTCGTGTGCAGCACCATTCAGTAAAAGAGGTTAAAGCCTGCTTCCTTTTCTGACCAGTATGACTCTTGGCCAGGATTTTCAACAAGGAACTGTGAGCTCAGGGCATCTCAGAAAGCTCTCTTATTGCTGCCAGATTGCTCCAGAGTGACCTGAGCCTCCAATGGGGACAGTCACAGTTGGAGAGAGCAAGGATTTCTGGAGAGTGCTCAATGTATAGCGTGAGAAGCTGATTCCCTCATTCCTTTGAATGTGCTGTCAGCCTAGCTGCCTCCATCTCAGTGCTGCTGCTCCCATTTGAGGAGGGTTGTTGCAGTGTGTGATAACTGGGAGATCCATCCATGCTTGGAATCTACACCAGAAACATGATTTGCTGAGAAGTACAACTGGAGAGGACACTGCCTTTTTTACACAAGTTTCTTTCTGAGCAGAGCTAGAAGGAGCAAGCCTTGTAGTGTGAGGGTCTGATGTGAGGCTTGGATGGCTTGTTTTTTGGGACTTTTAGGAATTCAGAGGAAGGGAGATCAGAGTAATCTTGAGTTCTAAATTGCTGTAACTAGAGTGGCACTGTGATCTGTACATAAGAAAATGTGTAGTACAGAGCATGCTAATCCTCACACTTCTCCACCAGAGACACAGACTCTGCAGCTTTGTCTTGGTCACAGTGAATTAAAGCTGGATACTCTCAGATCTCTAGCAGGAGCATAAACTCTTATGGAAAGAAGGTGTGTGTGTATAAAGAGTTTTCTGTGACTCTGAGAAGTCTGGGGATTTCCAAAGAAGTGTCTGAAATCAATAGCTTGCAGTTACTGAAGGCTTTCCATCTGTACTATCACTGTAGCTCTCTAAGGAGTTCATCTGTGAATCACGCCAACTCTGAGGAGCTCTTTTGGGTCCTGCTTCTGCTGCCAAATAGCAAGTTGCAAGCTTCTTGTTCTATCTCCACCACTGCATGTCCCCAAAATGTGAACAGATGAGTTAGTCTGCTGATGGGGGTCTTGGTGGTGGTGGTGGTGATCCATAAGCTTTAGCAAGGGGCCTTAAAGTAGAGAAAAGAGTTTGCTTGACTTACTGTGCTGCATTCCAGTAGAACATGCATCTGACTTTAGGGGGAAGAGTGATGCCTCCACTTGCTCCAAATGGGTTTCCTTCAGGGT